TGTCATTTTCATCCATTACTAACAGAGGCAAAACAAACTTTCCCAGGTTGGTTGCTAGCTTTAGATTTTTATAGTTTCTTATAAAATTTCAGTCTTTTTGAAAATTTTTTCTTTCTTCTCGTGTTGGAAGAGGATCTAATATTAAAATATCAATCCCATTCTTTGGTTTTCTCATAATATTTTAATCTAGTTTTTTGAGTTTTGTAAGAAGGTTATATCTAATGGTTGGTGCAGGTCCATCTAATGATTACATATACAACGTTCACAACTATGGTTTTGCTATTGTTGAAATTGTATGTGCCTTATCTTACAGCCAGAGACCACATCACAGCCTGTATTTCTGCATATTATGTTAATTTTCCTCTACATTTCAGGTAATTTTAAGTGCACTTAATTAATTGTGTTTTAAAAAGAATAATAAAAGGGACAATGTGAAGGTCTGTAGCCTCCTGTTAATATTCATATCGGGGGTATTTAATTTGTGGAAACCTCCATTCATTTAAGCCAAGTTCTAATACAGAACTTCTGGAAAAAAGGGAAAAAAGGGAACCAGATTTAGGCAATCCAGTCACACATGTTTGTAGCTGTGAGTGCCACAAGTGGTGAGCGATTAATGCTTGTACCCAGGTCTGCTCAGCTTAGGGACAAAATGGTATGGGATAATATGATCCAAATGTATTTCTTCAATATCAATACAGTACTGGTGAGTTTTTCAGTTATGACAGGATTTTTAAGAAGTCTTAAGTGCACATTCCTTTTATCTAGTGCTCATCACTGTAATGCAGGATTCTTCAATGTTCACGACACAAAGGCTCTTTGCTCCCTCAGAATTCATTTCAGAGGAAGCCATTAGATCTCACAGCTGCAGTTTAATGTAGGGATTTTAGGTCATCTCAGAACTTACCCTTTTCCAAGAACAGTTTTAATCTTCGTTCAGTACTCGAATATACTTTTATAATTATGCTTGAAGTGTTATTGCAGCTATATTTCAGATTTTACGTATGTAGGAAAATGCTATATTATTTTAATAGTGACGGTGGAGTAAAAATCTATTCAATATTCACCTTTCAGCAAGCACAATCAAATATCCAAGAACACTATTAGACTTGCCTAGCATAAAGTTTCAAACTGCTAATGGATTTTAAATTGATGTCATAATGCTGCAATTTAAATACATGATGTTCATTAATTTTGCCAGAACTCTTTGTAGAGTAGGAGTGGTATGAAAGAAGGAGGAAGATTGTATTTTCTCTACGTGCTTCTTTTTATCTGCTTCCCCATTTCTGATATACAAAAAGAGTCATTACATCAGCTTGATGTGGGTGGGGGGTGAAGTTTATTCCAGTAGGTTTCAATTGGGTAACCACGATGGAGTTGTATCAAATTAATATTTTCTGGAAAAAAAATCACCAGGAATAGGATAAAAATAACTAACACATGATAGTCATGACATTTCCTAAAGAAAGAGTTCATGGGACCTCTCACCAAAAATCCACAGGCACAAAGTGGAGGAAGAGGAAATAAGGGAAAGAAAGGTCATCTTGTTCATACACCTCCTTCTCACTGAAAGGTCAAAATTCATGTATTGAGCGAGACAGCAATATTGCAAAACAGGCAGGCACAGCTTCCCACAAATCCCAAGAAGTCACCTCAGATGTGGATACTGAAAAGGGAAAAGAGCTCACATCATGGAAGGCTATTACAAGATCCTCTCCTCCTGAGGGAAGTGAGGGTGGGCTCTGAATGTCAATTTTCTAGGTGAAGAATCCCGTATTTCAGAAATATCTCCAAAGTGAAACTAAAATGTGTCTAAATATAGTGGCCCAGTATATACAACACATCACATCTATTTGTATTTCAATTCTAATGTATTTACTGTACATAAAGACAGTTTTCCCAAAGCTGTTGCTATGGCTACAAATCAAGGAAACCATAGCAACAACCCTGTATTATGTACAGCCTTAATTGTGGATTAAGTTATATCTCTCTTTGCATTTTATATTAAATACTCCATTACATCTAGTTTTAATCTTTTTTTTAATTCAGACTTTTTAATAATAAAATTTCCACAATACTACAGTGCCAAGTCAAATACACAACACCTTGAAAAGTGTCTTTACAGCATTATTCTGATCATCCCTAATAACAGCCACATCATTTTTTTTACCTGAGATAAACACTAATGTTCGTATCATCGTATTTCCTGATCTTTTTTAATACAAATGATTGATCACTACCACTTTAACCTAGTAATTGATTTTCGATCATCTCATAAGATTTTTGAAGTCTCATCCCACTCAGCCCTACCCCCCCAAAAAAAAGCTCCTCCTAACTTAAACATTTACTGCTATGGAAAATTTTGAAATCTTGGGCCTTCTTTAGTTAGGGTTGGTTTTTCTTTTTCTTCAGAGAATAAGTATGCAATATAGAGACAGGAAAGGCAGAGAAGTAGTTCAGTCTAGATTTTCTAGCTTCCCTGTCACTTCAGATGACTGATTGCCTTGGTGGCAAATTACCCTAATTCCTCTCGTTTGTTGACCTTCTACTTCTAAGTATTTAAGTACACTAAGGAGTTGGCATGCAGCCAGACCTTGGAGTGCAGCCTGAGAGGAACAGGTAAAGGAGAACAGAGAACAAACGTGAAGAAAAGAAGAAGGATGTTAGAAGTGGCTGAGGAACAGGAGGGAGTGCCATCAGACAGCAGGAGACACCAGTGGGGTGACAGGATTCAAAGGAGAATATGAGCACATTCAACAAAGAATTCATTCAAAGAATTCTGCAAAAAGATTCCCTCAATAAAAGAGAAGATAAAAAGCCCAAATTCACATCTCTAAAAGCCTTCCCTCCTATTTTCCCTTCCATCACTTTATTTTCTAATAATTCATTGTGGTACTGTTTCCTCACACCATTTGGTCCTTGAAGAGACATCAAGTGTCCCATTTTGCAAAAAAGCTTGGCCACAGCTGTTTGAGGCATAAGCCTGTCTCACAGAATAGACTTTTTTTGCTTATCTTACATACCACAGCAGCACAAAAAAAAAAAAAAAAAAAAGAAAATATCTAAATTTTAGGAAATTAGCAGAAATTCAATGTATTTGATACAATAAAGAATTTAACAATTGAGATTTTCTGGCTATACTAATACAAATAGTATACAAATGCTTATTTGACAAAGTAATATGTGTTCTAAAATCATAGTCTGAGAAAGCTATGTGTGTGAGTTAGGAACATGAGCTATGTAAAAGCTTTTCATGTGAGCATCACAACAAAAGTTCCCTTGCACAGGGAATAATTAAGTCAAAAGTGCATTTACAATAAGCAAGCCATGTTCAGGTTCTTCATTATCATTTTCATTAGCAAATATTAATGTAATCTGCAAATACAACAGGGAAAACAACTAAAATTACAAAGTTTAAGGAGTCCTTCATGACCCAAGCCAAATTGAGACAAATGTCTTACAAATCGATACCGGTCACCAACTTTCAGGATATTCATTTCCATTTACTGTTAGAACTTCCAAGCGTGTTATCAAATTCAAGAATTAATTAAGGCCCTCACAAACTACTTCTAACGTCTGATGAAGGCAATGGTGAATAAAAATGGATTAGCATGCTCCTCTCCTCTCCAGTTATCAGTTCAGTCTGATAGTGATCAAGTGACCATGGCAGCTCTGCCTCATTCCGATTCCACGCCTGCCACTGTGGCAAGGACCCAGGGACATGCAGAACAGCTGCCCTCCCATTTCTGAGGGATGAAGATGCTGGATGAAGCCTTAACCCTTCTGAGCTCAACAGCACCTCCCATTCCTTTCACTGGGACTAGGATTCACATCTGAACAGTTCTCCTTTCAGGCACTTGTCCTTTTTCTGATTTATAGATAATGTTCTTGGGCCTCCAAAATAGACTGAATCATACAGGAACAATGATTAAAAGCTATATATGCTTAAAAGAAGCTGCCTCCTAAAAACTGCCTCTTGCTCATTCTGTGTTTCTAACTAAACTCTAACTAACATTTCACCCACTAAAGGTAGGATAATAATTAACTAATCCAATACACTTACAGGGCTAAATATAATGAAGTGGTGAAGTATTTTCATTCTCTATAAAGCTGTTCTGTGAATGAATTTCACTCATTAATAACTGTAATTTTATAGAAAAAAACCCTAGCAGTTAATGGAAGACTGATAGTATTTCTCATGACTGACAGTGCTATAACTGATCCCAAACTATAGAAAGAGTTCAATTTTTATGTTACCTTACTTTGGAAGATTCAATTTTACAAATATTACAAAGAGGAAATGTCTGAAGAAAATGCACCACCACCACCAAAACCCAACAGTGGCACTAGAAATTTTGACAATTAAGATACTTTAAAGCAGGAGTCCCCGTAAAACCTAATTTCATCAGACAAGTATTTTGCAAAGCAGATACACATCAGTGAGTTTTAAAGTACAGAATGCAAATACATACCTAGTTTTGAAATAGCTATCAAGTATTAATGCAATACTTCCAGAAAAAAACAGTAAACCTCTAGCTTTATACATTCACTAGACTCAAATATGCTCATTTCACATATTGCTCCCTTTTCCTCTTTCATTCCCATACAAACAAAAATAAGCTACTTCCTCTTTGGGAAGCCCAAGCAAAATGAAACATTTTTAGGACCTTATTACAACAAACACAAGACAATTCCCTTTTGCATTAGAGGGATTGAAGGATTGAAATTAATCTGAAAGGTTTTCTTGTTTGTATGAACAAGTTTTCACTCAATAAAGGGTGATTTTGAGGTCAGTTCATTGCTCTCTCCACTGCAGACATGACAGAAATTTTTAAAATTTCAAAGGTCATTTAAGTGGTAGCAGACTTCTAAAATAGCCACTTTACTCAGAAATGCCCTTGTTCAGTTTTTACACTGGGCAGGTTGTAAAAAAGCATTAGATGAGATCAGAGAAAAAGAAATGTACTGCTCCATTTTGCCAGGCTGTTAAAAACAGATCTTACCTCTTGTGTTTTTACATTTATATATCCATAATGAGTTTTCAGAGGCTGCCTTTGGCCATTAGAAAATGGGATCCACTTGACTCTGGTTTGTCCAAAGCAGTTTAGGATCAAAGGGAAAGTTACTTCATTTGTGAGACGAATGATGATGAGACAGAGGAATGCTGCGATGAAACTCACGGCAACAATGGACTTCCTCTGTAATGAAAAGAAGAAAGGAAATAAATTATTAAAACTGAGAGTCAGTTTTAATAAAAAAATACATATCTTCAATTGGAGGATGAAGGAAAAACACTTGAGAAAGCTTTATGTGAAATTATTCCTCTGGTAGTCACCTTGCTGCAGGAGCACAAGGAGACAGGTGACTGAATTGTTTTATTTAAATAAATTTGCATTTCAGAGGTTTGCAGAGTTTCTTTTAGAACTGGTTGCAAATTAGTCAGTTTTGCTCACAAAAAACAAAAAGCCTTTTTTTTTTTAAGGTTCAAAAAACATCTATCAACTTTAAATTTTATTTGCATTTGGAGTAAAGATTTTATGTAAACATCCACACCAAAGTCTTCACTCAAAATCATCAGTTTTCTAGGGATGACAACACACAAAAGGAAAATGCCATCTGCAGTGACACTACACAAAGTTTACTGGAAACACTACCAGCCCTACAGATCATTCTATTCAACAGAATTCATTCTGTGACTTTAAATACTTTAGATTAAATTGTTGGTGAAGTCACCACCACATTCTGCCTTATTTCAGGTTCATGAATTTACCGAGCAAGGCATTATTATTTCAGACAAGAGGATCTCCATTGTTAATAATTCAACCAATCTGAAGCCTGTAATTAGTCCTGCCCTTCCACCTCTACCCTATCCACTCAGCTGGACTGGAGAATGTAATCACAGAAAGATGACAACTTTTTCCCTGGTAACTCCCCAGTCTGCAGGTGAAACACCTGTGAGAAAGTAGGATGTTCTCCTTATTTCTAGCTATGTTTTTTAAATACTGCAGTCAATTATTTCTAGACATATTACTTCAGGACAAACATGTCAGTTGGCATGTGTAAAGATTCTAGATTGATACTCTATTGAAAATATTATTTTCACATTTTCCCTGTAGGAATGAAACAATTATCATTTACATGTGTTTTTACTGTAGTTTAATTACATTCTAGGTTTACCTAATTTGCTACAGTTTAATTACTCTAGTGAAGGTAATTCTATCATTGTAAACAGTAACATTTACAAAAAATACAGAAGGAAAAGTATCATTTGCCTAAGGGCCTAAACATAGGTGTATAATAACATTTAATGCTGGATGACAGAATCTGATCACCCCAATTCCCATCTACCAGCTAATTCCCAACTAACCAGCACAGAACACATTTAACATCACTTATTTTACACGATGACAATAAGATCACACATAATGCCATGGTAAAGGCAATCTCTCCTTGCAACCAGGTAAGATGAATCTGTCCTTGCACAACAGTGAGAATCACAATGAGCCCGCAGCAAATTGGAAGGGATGTTATGATATTCCCACAAACAAGAGTTAACAAAATAATCCATTGCAGGGGTCAATTGCATGGCTCTGTGTTCTGATGTACTGGGAGGTTACAATTTGTAAGATAAAAGCAATGAGAGACTGGGCTGGAAAACTTGGGTGAAGGAGGTCACTGCGAGGAGAAAAGGAAGTGGAGGATGAAGAAGTATTGTTGGCAGTGTGATTCAGTGAGGAACCTCAGCCAGCTAATGGCTCTGCAATGTAAAATTAAACCCAGCAAATCTTCAGAGGGCAGCGCAGCAGCCACAACCCAATCACAGCTCTCAGAATTCATAGAAGCCACTGCACTTTTCATCATCTGCATTATAACAGATTTACATTAAATTGCAATAAAATGGCTGGGGAGCACTTCTGTGTCACTTCTCTTTGTAGCAGATGGAGTCAGAAACATTTAGCTATATATCAGAGCCTTGTAAGTGCTAAGAGCAGCCAAGATGTGCAGTGCAAGTGATAATCATAAAGCAATGAGAGGGAGCATGGATTAATCATATTATTTATTGCAAATCAGAATTAAAATATTGCAAATATTTAAAGTGGAATCTAGAGTCTCATTCCACTACATAAGCATGCTTCAATCAAAACATCCACAGCAGGAAGCAAGATTGCTTGTATGATGCTGCTATCTGATTTCCACATACCCTATCTTCCTGGTTTATTGAATATCACTTTTTACTTCCTTTATTTTGTGCAGATCTGTTCTGAACTTGAAAACAGTGCAATCAGCTTTATGTGCTTCTCACAGAGAGTTGTTCTAAACAGCCCTTGCCCCGAAAGCAATTCAGATTGTGTAGCTAAATTTCTTGGCCTTCACTATGAAGCCACCTGATTTTTATATTTCTTTTCTTTAAATGCACTGTACTACCAGATGAAAGAAAAAATATGACCTTTTGGGTTTTTATGTTTGAAAAGGAAAACAGCAAATATTTTTCTCTGTTGCTTAGCCAGAAAGAGTCTGCACTAACAAGAACATTCAAATGAGAGAAAGGAATTTTTACAACAGAACAGAATTAAGGCATCTGTTGAAATTGGTTTGGAAAAAAAAAAATCTAGCCATATGCAAAACCACAGTGTTTACCTATCAACTTGTACAAAGGATGTTTGTATTAAGTATTCAGTTCCCCTGCAATTTTTGTTGAAGGCATGAGATCCAACAATAGGCATTCTCTGTGGGAAAGACTACTGAAAACTGGCATTTCAGTGGCTCTTTAAATTTCACTGTAAAAATACTGAAAAACCCCTAAGCACACACTTTTCATAGTTTTAGCCTTCTTAAAGCACCAAGTTAAGAAGTCTGATCAGTGGCCACGAGTATTCTACAGGGCATTTCTAAAAGTAATTTGATTCCCTTAAGTCCCTATGTTCTTTACCTGCTCATTAGAAGAACAAACTAAACAACCAAACCCAGGTGCTATTTGTCCTTAACTGCTTCTTGTAAAATCTCCTTTACTGCAGATAAATGGATTTTGTTATCGGTCCTCTGATAAAACTTAAAATTTAGCATTTGAGAATCCAGAAATTCTACATGTCATTAGGATATGACAGAGTAGTCTGAAGCTATATACAGGGATGAATACCAAATTGTAGTTGGTCTCAAAATTTGTCTGCATCAACATTTTAAATACTCAGACATCCTACCATTTGGGAGAGCTTAACCAACACTAATTAGTTACTCTGCAGAGAAACAAATCCTATTCCTTCTTAATTTTCAGTTCTCATGAATGCTAATTGTCTCTTAACAAAAGAAATGTTTCTCTAACACGGACATATCGTATGCATAAATTTCAATCAACCCTTTTATTTTTTTTTGCTAATCTAATGTAGACGTTTTGATATTGACAACATTTACATAAGAAATGTATATTCAGTTATAAACATCTTTTAAATGTTTCCCATTTTTTCACATACTCAGTGAGGGGTACACAGCAAGACATATTTTAGAGTTTCTTATCTGGACAACTTGCATGGTATATTAGCTTTTGTTCCATTTTATTTCAGTCTCTATAGTATCGGACTAGCCTAGATGGCAGTGGCAAGAACAAAATCACCCTTCTCATGAATAGAGGATCCTCTAGCAGAAGAGTGAAGGAGTTTAACTTTAGATAATGAGACTAAGTCTACCTACAGGCTCATTCCCAGTTTAAAAAGGAAAAAAAAAAAAAAAAAAAAGGGTAGAAGAGGAGAAAGTTGAGATCAGAGGACATGAACTGCCAAATCTGAGACCCCACTGGGCCAAAAGCTCTCACTAGGACTGAACAGTTTCCTCTAATTCTTTTTACTCAATCCCCATAACAGCACCATGCCACTTTTGGTGTCAGCTATTTCTCAAACACCAAGCTCATTCTGCCTACTATGTATATCAAAATCAATAACTAGCAGGCATGAATCACATTCATTATAGATCTAGGTTGTTAAAGAAAGAATTGAAATAAAAACAGTGTTATACTACTCTGCTGGATAGAATTTAATTAAAAACTTCATGGGAATAAAACAATAACTACTTTCAGGGGTATAAATATAAGTATTTGGCAACATGGTCCCTAGCACTATTTATATGTTTCATATCATCTAGTTTTGGCTAATTACCAGTGCCAGGGTGATTCATTAGTTTCAGTTTGGCAGGAACTTGACAGTCTGAACAAGTTTTAGTCATTTTTCTTTCATAATCTGTTAAGAAGTGTGAGATGACAAGATCATTTTTTAATAGTTCAATAATGCCTGACAGAATAGTAAGATACTAACATTTTTTTATGTTGTATACAGTTGTCTAGGAGGGAGGGAGGAAGGAAATATTTGCAGCATAGGAAGATAATTTCTTAAACTGTAAATTTTACTGAGATCTGTACTAAGTATCTTTATTCTACTTTCTAGCCAGAGCACAACACCCTGACACTTAGCATGTATTATATGGCAGAGACTATCAAACTACTTCACAAGCAGGAATAAATCCTCATCCTGGTGAGTTTCACAGTAAAAACCCATTTCACAGGTGCATAAACTGAGGTTGAGATCAACTTCCCTAAGATCACAAAGAACTCAACAGAAGAAGATTTTTACTCAACTCCTAAACTTTCATTCTAGAAATACTTTGTTTTTCAGGATTATTGCTTCTATTGCAAGTAACTGCCTGAATTTGTTAAAAGACAAAGTTGAACATGATATTATGGAAGATTCCAGTACCGAACCCTAGGAGCCATGCCCAAACCAGTAATTGCAAATAAACCTTTTTTCATAAATTTATTTTCTTCAGTATTCATTCTTTTCTTTTATTCTATAGATGCATGGCAGCACTGAGCTTGGAAGGACAAATGAAAGGTAAATACTTATGTGAGGGCTTTGGTTCTCTTAGATGTCACAATATGCAGTAATTTTGTATTCTTTTCACAATACCTGCCTTTACAGGCTCAGTGAGTAACTCAATCACTTTTTTAATATCTCTGCACATCATACTACTTTCATTAGAGGACTGATGCAGGGCTTCAGTTTTTACTCAAGTATAATACCAATTGAAAACAATAATGGTCACACTTACTGAATTTGTTTCAATTTGTAGACCACTATATGTAAAAAAATAGTTTTATTTAATTTTCGCTTTTATAGTCCTGAGCATCCCATTTAGAAGCTACTTTCTACTACAACAGAGCATTAAATGAAATTCTTTCAGCACTCTAGGTCAGTATACCTTACTGATTTCACCGCTATTGGAATAAAATGTCTTCCAGCTATTTCTTTTGTCCTGAAACTCCTTCTAACAGGGCTGCTGAAGAGATAGTCAAGCAGGGGTCCTAGAAGTTTTCAAAGAGAGTAAGACATATAGCAAAGATCCTTTTAGAAATAGGCATGTGTCAAACATCATTTGCATAAAATCAGTAGCTGAAGATTTACTTTCTTCTTTTCCAGAAGTGAAAGTTAACCTGACTATGTTCAAAGACTCCACAGGAGATTGCTGTCAGTGTTTCTCAGGAGGAGAGAAGAACAAAGCTGGTAGGGTTTATATCACCAGTAAGATCTGGTTTGGGTTCAAAAACTAGTAAAATTAGGATTAAAGCAAAATTTTTTTTTTTTTTTTTTGAAAAGGACATCTTTGCTAAAATGGAATGTAAGCAGCCAGGAAGCTGAGAAATAAGAGCAAAAAGAAGTTCAGTGATGAAGAAGTAATGCAAGAAATGCAGTGTATCTAAAAATAGGTTGTTACAATGAAAGAAACATGTGAGTTTTATCCTGAATGTGTTTCTTGTAAGAAGCTGCCCTGAATCAGGATTGGGTTTGGGACTATGGTGTTAAAGCGGGCATGAATAGAAGACACATAACTTCTTGCACAGCTTCTCTGCAGGAGCTCTGGCCTTTTCTATGGCTAAGGCAGCCTCAAGGGCTCTGAAAACACAGCTCATTGTACCTCTTGTTGCTGTCATTTGTTAAAAACTTGTTACTTAATTCAGTTTTCACCATGATTAACAATTTACAGGTTCTGTGTCTAGGTTCATAGCAGCTCAACATATTCAACCATATCTTTCCTTAAAGCCAAAACTGTGCAGAGTGGGTTCAGGTTTACTGGGGTAAGAGCTGAACAATGAACAAAACAGTAATCAGCTCAGTCCAAATAAGTGATGTAACAGCAAGAGTCTGTATTAAAAATCTTATATAAGAGATAAAATCCTTTTATTAGTCTCAGGTAACTGCATAACTTTCTTACAGCATTCTCACCAAAAAGATACTTATTATGTACTTACTTACTTATTTAGGTAATAATATGAAATTATGTAAGGTGAAGAACTTCCAAGTTTCAAAGAGTAATTCCTGAAGTATTTTGAAGGCCTTCCACATGCTATCAGGCATAAGAAGCTCCTACATTTGAAAAGCGTCAGTGATTCCAAGCCCTTGAAATTGCAAAGCACTGCCAGATTTCAGGAATTATTTTGTGTCACTATTCCCTCTTGCCCTAAACTCTAAGCCTGATAAGAAGGAGCATTTATTTGTCTGGAGATATTCTTATCCCTTCAGGCTTTCCAGCACTTTGAGCTCTCCATATCCTATAGTTCCTGCTATTTGTTTCATCCTTACTCAAAGCTGAACCTGCACTTCCTCCAGCAGTCTACTCCTGGCCCAGGGTTCCCTCTGCCAGCAGCCCCACTCCACCAGGAACAAACACATCATTAGCACAGCCCCAGTCTCACACACCACAAGGTCACACTACCACCAAAGCAACCTAAGCTTCTGAGCCAGGCATGCCTTTGGCTACTCTGCTACTCAATTTTATAGCGCAGCTGAAAGCCGTCCAGTAATTTAAAAGATCTATCCCCATAAAATCCCCGTGGCAGCAAAGCACACTTTAAATAAGGTTGTTGATTTTTCATTCTATAAGATCTGTTAAGAATATTTAATCTAAAATTCCAGTTACTGATTCACAGATGTCCTTCACAACCAGGGTGAACTTCATCAGCAGCTGTAGATGCATATTATATAAACACTAATGTAGTCTCTGCATGATAAAGTAGTATTAAAAAGGAGAAAAAAAGAAAAGCCTCTGCAGTACAGCTCTCAATTTTTTTTCTTTTCCTGGTGCTGGATTATTGCCCAGCTCTTCTTATCAATACCTTGGCAAGCTTTCCAACACACACAGGCTGACACACGCTTCCCTATAATAGAACTGCTGGTACAAGAATTTGTGATCTTTCAACGTGGCAGCTGGTTGTTACTATTTATTGAAGTAGTACCTGATTGTAGCTATTTTTCACCTGCTGAGAAAAGTTCAAAGAAAAAAAAACACCCATATGTGAGTATTGACTCTTATCCTGCCAGATATACCTCACTTAGATGACCTCTCTCCTCTATAGAAACACATCAAGATTCATGATCAGCAGCATCCTAAGACTGAATCTGTAACAGGGATTTTCCACAAACATTCTGAAAGGCACTCTATAGTTTTCACGAAAACTGCTTTCAAAAAGTTGATTCTTGCAACCAGAAAGAGACTAAAAAATGCATAAACCAGTAGAAAAACAACAACAAAAAGTCCCCCAAATACATCAAGAAAGATTCTTAGAAAACAATAAAACACCCGCAGACTTCTTTATATTTGAGAAAATATGTAGTTATTAAAAGTCTTTTGCATTTCTTTGCTATTCTACATGAAATACCAGAAATACTCAATTTCTCGTTTCAAAAACTCACAGGAAAGGCAATTTGATGGCTTCAAAAGTGGAAGTGAGAAAAATTCAATTTTTGCTCGCAGCAGTAAAATCATTAATGTGATTGGTATGCAGCAGCAGGAATGGATGTTAATCACCTACCTGTATGTTTAGTAAATACTACACTGGGAGGTAACCTCTGGAAGTACTAACTTCTAGATAAGAAAGAAAATAATCAGACAAATAAAATTAAGCACTTGACAGCAGCCCAGAGGCAGAAGAAATGAAAGTAAATAAAATGTTGTAACAACCCCACATTCTCAGGCTGCACATCTGTGAAGAAAATGCCTTTTGCGAGAAACCTTCACTTGCCTGCAGCTCACTTCTGCCTGTGGGGGAAAGTTTATGCTACACAGCAAAAACTGCATAACCAGAAATTCACACAAATGGATTTTAATTGCCTACCACCATCTGGACAAGCCCAGACTTTCTCCATTGAATTTTCTTCTCTAAAGATCCCTGATTGCCATGCTGGACTTGAAATTAACAAAAAATTGACACCATGCCTTTGGTTTCCTTCTAAAAGCCATTTAACACTGGAAGACAGAGGAGATCCTGCCCAGCTTGTTGCTTGGCAGGACTCTTGTTCTGGCCCTTCACACCAGCTTCATCCCACACTATTCTTTGGGAGAACAGCACTTTTGGAAAGTTCCTCTGGATGTTCTCTCTGCCAGTCTCTGCAATGCACCTGCTGTTCATCAGCATGAAAAGAAAAAGCAGAAGCAAGGGATCATTACTGATTTTAGTCTTGCACCCTCAGCCAGCCAGGGCACCCTAACACAGTGCAGGTGAATGCCTTGTTCCAGAGGCAGAGATTCAAACCCTGTTTAGTGTGAGGAGCCATGTGGGCTCTCTAAGGTCTGGCTGAATAAAAGGCTGGCTTTGATCTGAAATATAAAAATATTCAATGATAGCTCCTTCACCAGGCAAAGGTCCAAGTTCAGAAAGAAGAAAAAGGAGTTTTTACACACTGGTCTTCTTAAAAAAGAAATGAAGAAGGGTAACTGTGAATTAGAAAGAAGCTGTTCTTAAGCAGAGATGAGAGATGATGCACTTCAGCCAGGCTGCAGGAAATCTTTTGTAATCTATGCTCTTTTTTTTCTTTTTTTTTTTTCCTTTTACATTTGAGAAAGAGAATCTCCAGCACAGCTGTAGGAATGCTGTCCTGGATTGGCAGGAGGAAAGAGCAGCCTCTATGGATGGCCTTTCACACAAAGCAAGGAAACCTTGCACTAAATTCTTTTGGCAATTTATCAGTTTTCCATCAGACGTGGAAATCTCACTGTTTACTTTGGATAAACCCGTTCCAGCCTATTTCATCCATACACAACTGCCACACACGTCATCAGAAAAGCAAAATGCATTATTCAATGCCTCCAAGCATTGTCTGCTCCTGGCACGTTGAGGAACATTCCAACAGGCGTAACCATTTATAGCCAATAAAAAGCATGCCCTAATTACGGAGAAGTCTGGGCTGAGATCAGCTGTTTTGTAACAGGAATTGGAAATTTTCTGCCATGTAGCTGGGAGAATGCTACTTCAAGTGAGGGGGGGGAAAAACACCTTCCCTGCTTAATTCTTGTTCTTTCCCATATGATGTTTTCTTTATTGGAAGCTTAGAAAAAATGGGTTGGAGAAATGAAAGGAAAAAAAAAAAACCAAACCCAACCAAAATCAGGACATCAGCATGGCAGAATCCTCTCTGAAAAGAGACTTTAAACTAAGCCACTATTCCAGTGGCTTCCATACTTTCAGGGCACCAAATTTTTGAGCAAATGGAGGCACACAGAGGGTGTGGGATTTGCTGGGATGGTCACATTAGGGTCCATTCTGAGGAGTGTTGCATGTTCCAGCACGAGAGCAATATGCCATAGACACACATGGAATAGGGAGGGGATTTAGGGGGTGTGTTTGGATGAAGGCATGCAGAACCCAGCCAGGCATTTTCATTGGAAACATTAATGATCATATTATTACCACAGCACTACAGAACAGAGCTTTTCATCTTGGATGCACATCAAATGCATTAAACACCGCATGCTCCTAGCAGCACATCTAACTATTTTATGATCCCAATGAAAAATAGGAGGCAGGCAAACATTTTAAATCTTTTTTGAGGAGGAGCTGCACTGAGCAATGCAGTGTCAGTACCAACACAAAGGAGCAAATGACCTGTACATTTTTGGCAGAGAGGTTTCCTTCACTGATGTGATTAGACTCTGCTTTACTCATTTCTTCTCATACAATCACAGGAAGATGTTGCAAAGCTGGAGGAACTTGAACAAAAATTTTTGCCCACTTCATACAATTGTATTCCTTCTACAGGTAGGAATCTGTTCATTATTCATCCTTGGATAATATGAGCAAGAGGCTATCAGAAGCCACCACAAAAGAGATTCTCCAGACAGCAGATTATGCAGCAGTGCAGTTACAAAACAAGACTGCTCACATACTGCTCAAGCAGGTGATGACACATCCCTCCATTGACTGGGGAGCTCCTCAAATCAGGGCACTGAAACTCGATAATAGCACCGATCAAGGTAGTGACTTCAACTTAATTATGAGCTTTATTGATCATGTCTTCTCTTTATAAAAACAAAAAAAGAGTGGGGCATGGCAGGGGAAGTCACAACAAAGCACTGAGCTGCAGTGGGACTTGGCAGAACAGATTCCTTGGAGTAGGAAAACTCTGCCTTTTGTGCTGACCTCACACTTCTAGGAATTAGGAAACTGTTTTTACACAAACCTCTTTTCATCAGAAGGAGGCAAAACACAATTTCATGTTTACAATAAAATCTATGATCTGAGACTTATTTTGTGAATACACTCAGTTGAATGGGATACATGCAGTGGAATAGCACCCAAAAGCCACAATCAGGAGTCAATCTCCATTGTGATAAAAGCTGTAAATTCTTTGGATTCATTATTTCTGCACAGCATCTCAATAGGAGCTTGAGAAAACCATAAAAATTGATAGTTTTCAAAAAGACATTCTCCCAAGCAGTAAAGTTTAATCTCTCACTGATCTGTTATCCTGATAGAATAGTACAGGGACAGTAACATATATATCCTACCCAAACACACATTCCATCATTGTATCATGCTCCTCTCACGCTGGGTGAGCTAACTGAATTGAACTTGACCTTCAAAGCCCTTGGAATGCAACAAAATATCTGTTTTCTGACATTTATGGGTGGCTTTTCTGCATGGCTGCTTTTATTGCCTGGAAAATAATGGTGAAAGCTCTGTGTACAAACCCACTACAAACACTGACAAATCACATGAAAGGAAGACAGATTTATTCAGTGTAGATTACTCCACAGCTAATCTAATCAAATCCAAGTTTTACATTTTTAAAGTAGATGAAAAAATCATAGAGTTAGCATTTCAATACAATAGATATATATTACAGCTTTATTTTAATCTGCAAGTGTAATTGAACTGATTTGTATTTTCTGCGCTTTTATTTTTGCTTAAAAAAGCTTTATGTGTTTCATATGAAAATGCATCATTGAACCAGCATATGCACAAGCAAAACCCCATGAAAAACTCATACAGAAGATTATCAATCTCTGTCTAATAAGCTTAGATAAAAACATATTTGGACGTAATTCCATATTAAAAACTGAAAGGGCTACATGTGGAAATGCAAATACATCCTATTTGTGGCTTTCTTAAACTTAAAAGAAACCACTCCTGGCCACTCTATCAGAGCTGATCTAGAACATTATGATGGAAGAAATGCAACACACTTGGGCACCTAGCACAGTTTTCCATCCTTCAGTCCATCAAACATGGAGAGATTGTCACGTGTCAGAAATTATTTCAAACCCCTGGTTCCCTGCATACACATTCTACTCATGTGCATTCAAGAAACAAGCAGAAGTAGTACAATCCCCCAAAACATTCAAACTGAGTTTAATTTTTGCATAAGACATAATAAAGACATAATCTACTGTCCAGGTACTTGGTTCTATGACAACATATCCACCTACTTGCACCAAACAAAGCCAGCTGTGGAATTTTGTCCCTCCTTCATATAAAGATATCTCTAATTGATTCAAAGGAGAGCAAGAGAAAGCCAGAAGCACAATTAAATTTGAATAGGAACAGTAAGAGAAATACAAATTTCTAATTCTTTCCCAGGGCCTTTGCGTATGAGTTACTCTATTGGCAAACTCAGGATCCCTCAACTCCCACTTGAGCCAAGTCTGGTGCCACCAAACCCAGCTTGTGAATGTTCTTGCTGACATCTGTGGGACCCAGTACTGCACCTCTGTAGCTTCCAGCCACAAGGGAACTTCCTAAGGTGCCAGCTGTGCAAGCCTTGGCCTGGATATCAACAAGTTCTCATCTTTATTTCTGCAGCTGCTGCAGGAAGCAGGTTCTGCCCACAACCCTTCTGTAGGATATGAATGTCTCCCACCCACTAATAGCCCTGAGGCCACATATTTTCAATTATCTTAAGCACCAATCTGGTCTAAAGCAGTAGAATAAGGCCACCAAAACCTTAATGAACTCATCACAGTGTCCCAGAGGTTACAGAAGGGTTTTTTTCCTTTCCAGCAGGGAAGCTGCCAGAGACACTGCTGAGATTAAATAATGTGCCTCACGACCCTTTGGAAGTACTAGGCAAAGATGAGTTTTCCTAAAGTTCATCTAGAATCAGAGTCATTCTCAGTTACTTCTAAGAATAGATCCTAGACACTTCAACATCTACGATATTTAAAAAGTATGCATGATGAATGCAGGAATGTTACTCTTACATTTACTGTTTCATCTGTTTTCAGAGTTTTCCATTATTCCTCTCAAAGGTCTTCGCTTTTATCAGTTTTTATCTCCACCTTTACCCCAGTGCTGGTTAGGCAGCAGTTACCAACACAAGAAAGAATTTGCACAGGACCTAACACCCCACTGCCCTGTGGCCACACGTTAGTGGCCATCTTTCCTTGTGCCCACATTCTCTGTCAGCATACTTGGCTCTGTAGTAGTTTGTACACTCATTCCAAGTTATGAAATTTATGATATGTTCCAGTCACTATGAGTCAAAATATCTATCCCAGTGCTCTGAAAATAAAACAGCATAAGATTTTCTCAGTGAATCTCTAAGTCTTCTAGCCATAAATCTCAACAAATAATGCTGTTTGTTTAAATTAACACCACTATACAGATTAATGAGACAAGTTGTCCACCAGTCAGGGGAGGGACACAAAGATGCATCCTAATGTATTTCATTTCCAGGTTCATTCATTTAAGTGTTATATAATGTGACGTTCACACATTACTGAAGAAGTTAAAAGAACAAAAGGCACATCACTGATCAGCTGATCATTTATCATTTGATTTTAGATGCCAAAATTAAATATGCCCTTCCTTTTTTGTTAGGTTTTTTTGCACTTTTTTTCATTAAAGCAAAAATATGTGAGTAATCAGAATATTTATCTGCAATTTCATTGCTTATGCACATGCAACTGATCCCAGAGTGATGGTTAATAGATTTAATTGGTTGAAACCTTAGGTCTGTTGGGACTCCCACAACTTAATGCCTAGAAGATCCAACTTCAGATGTTAATGTTCCAAGACATTAAATCCTGATATTTTCAATTTCTCATTCTTAGTTATTCAGCATTTACCACAAATGCCACTGGTCAAATTTCAGCCCGTCTTACTCCATTTCCTTTTGTCTGAAAGCTACTACCTCACTGAGTACCACAACAGCCAATTTTATACCCTCTGACTATGCTTAGATATTCTAATCCTCCAAAAAGGTCACACAGCACTCCCTATTTTGCCAGGTAGTGACTCTACTTTAGCAGCTTCTTACTACACCACAATACTGTTGTCAAACTTTCCTCTTTTACATACCTTAAGGAATGCAGTATTTAATTCTTTAATCCCTTTTTTTTGCAGTTATGCACCAACTTCCCATTTAAGTCAAACCTCCCTGTCAGTTTCTTCTTTCATAACTGTTTTTAAGAATCTTGTACTTAACTGTTCTTCATTTATACATAGTCTTCTGTCTAGCTGACTAATTCCATGCTAAATACCCTCTGAGAACATAATCTTTCCTCTCATAATAATTCTTCTTTTATCCTACTAAATAGCCTCTTTCTGGAACCAGAGTCCTCTGCAGAACAGTGAGTGTGTGTCCCTTTTTTCTGTGGTTTGGTTTTGGTTTCTCTGCTCTGACACTTGCTCCTGTGGTTGCTGTGATGGTCATGTGCTGCTGTATTTCAGCCCCTGTTAATAGCTTTAAGACTTTGGTACTGAGATCCAAATGTTCTGACTGGAGTTGTGTTAAGAGGAAGAAAGTACTGTTCCACTTAGGCCGTGCAAAGTGCCCTTTGTGACAAGAGGCACAGCTGGAAGTTTACAACATTACAGTGAAAGAAGGTGCTTTGGGGGCTACTGGGGGCACCACCTTTTTGGAAGTACTTACCTACAAAGTACTAATATAAATGAGCTGTCTCTAGATCAGAAGCAGTTTTCTAAAGAGACTGTATTTAATGTATCTAATTCGTCTTGCCATTCTCAGAAATAGACCATTGATAAATCTTCTCTCAAATGGATTTAGCAAGGTGATAAACCAAACGCTTCAATCTTCCACAAAGTAAGGCCCCCATCCTCCAGATGCATCAGCTTCTCAAAACTCTGCTCTTCTGCTTTCAGGTCATGCTCCTGGACCACAGGTAGGAAACTCAGTCTTCCAAAAGGGACCTCACTCTGTGTGTTCAGTTCCATATCTGTCCTGACTGAAGGTATTTCATGGTTCAGTTTTGATTCCTGATAATTTTGTGAGTGACCAGCATGTCCATAATGAGTCCTAAGTCATTTGCTTCTAGCTAATGAGCTGTCAGTATGTCAAGCACCATGGCTGCTTGATGCTGTTTTTCTAGGACTTGTCTAATTGATTTTTTTTTAACTTTGCACAACATCCATAGAGTCCTCTGTTACTTTAACTTTGGTACCAGCTGTAGGAGACAAATGACTTCCAGAAAGCTTTTAGAAAACAACTTTCAGAAATGGTCTCTGTCATGCCAGGCAGGACAGAAAAGGCTGCAGCAGCTAGAATAATAGGAGTTGTTTGGCTTAGGGTCAGATTTTTGGAAAGCACTCTCCACTCTCTGACAGGGAAGTTACAGAAATATGTCTTGAAAACAGCATCTCAATCTATTTTTAAGCCTTTAGCTACTACTTTATAAACAGTTCGCAATGGTTGGCTTCAACTCCAACACTTTGGACGTGTCTCAAGGAAACACACTGTGGCCAGGCTGTGCCATGACAGAAAACCTGCCACAGCCAGGTCACTTTACATAGGAATGTTCACTGTGGTTTTAAACAGAGGTAAGAGAAATTTTGATACTAAGTGATTTAGCCTCTCAAATTTTGACCAAGATTGTACCAACCATGTCATATGTTGTCCAGTGAAGAGTGGAAGATTTAGAGGATGAAGTCAGCTACTAGGGTTACAAACATTTTATTTCACTCTTCTGCCTTTCTACACTAAAGCTGTCATCTCCTAAAAGCCTCGAACTGTCACCTCAAAGAGACAGCAGCTGACACAAGCCTTTAAAGTGAAAGCAAAAAGAGATTTTGTGATATCATAAAACTGGGGGTGATAAAATAACAGTAAGCACAGCAAGATATTTGCTGCTCATCTTTCACGTCTGTCTTTTCTTGTTGTTATTGGACGCTCACAGAAATGGAGAAGTAATGCAGCTTCCCTTGTACACCCAAAATGTTTCCCCTTTAGTGATCCAAAGAATACCCAAACTTATAGCAAAGCTCTGCACTGGCTAAAGTCCTCTGAATTTTCCCTGTTTTCCCTGAACACAGGAGAGATACAGACATGTGATATTAATACACAGGAAAATAACAGAGAAATTGTTGGACTACTTTACTGCACAGAGACCGAGGAGGAAGGAAAATCAGGGAGGTTTTAACAAATCAGCTGTGAGGCAAAAACTCCCCTAAACCCAGTCATGTTACATAAGCCAAGTTAGAAAATCAAGTCTGCACCATGAAAAAAATGAAGACCTTAAAAGACCCCCCTTGCCACCTGCAGCAAAAGCAGACCACAGCAGGAAACAGTGCTGACTAGGGGAAAATGTTGTTATTCTATTATATAGGGGTAAATGATTTGCTCAATAAGCTGAACTAAAAGCCCATTAAAAATGGCATCACAGAGAAAGAAATTATACAATAATAATCCACTAAGGCACTTTAAAAGGCAAAGCAGCTCAAAATTTGTCAGTTACTCTATCTAAATATCAAACCAGGTAATGGAGTGACACCACTAAAGAAAGCAAATTTTTTTTCCTTTTTTTTTTTATGCTGTTGTCTGATAATGAGTAAGTTTGGTTTGATTCATTTAATTCATTCCTCCTAAGCAGCACATTACAACAGTACCAGAATGAGATTTTTAAAAATTACTATTTCATCAAAGGTTTTTAATACCCATCTATGATTTAATTTGATCACCAAATTTGATCTATAATGATATTAATAGATAAAAAAATCCATAGTAGAGTCCATTATTGTTGAACTTTATCATCTTTTTGAAAGTACAATGGTAAAATTATCTATTAATTAGATTAATTTCAAGGAAGCTTAAATCATCCTGACCCGTGATACTTGCTTGCAAAGCTTTTGTAAGAGAATAATTAATAGGCAATAATCGAGGAATATTATTCTGAGCAGATGTGAACTTTGAACTGGCAGTCACTAGACTTAAATTCTAACCAGGAATATATCATCTAATGGAAACCCCAGCACCCTGGAGGGCTGCAAGAAGGGGGAGAAGAAAAAAAGATCAAAGTAGATTGCTATTGTAATATATAGCCTGTATTATTGCTTCACATGACCATGAGCTAGATGTGGATATAAGCAAAAATTTCTGAATTTTAAAAGTTCAAAGTGAGAAGGACTGTGCCACTCAAATAACAGTGTCTTGTTTAGAGAAAGTATCTTACAAGCCATTTAATTTGTCACGTATCCTGCTGGAAAACTATACGGCCTTGGGTAAATATTTAACCCTAAGCAGTAGCTAGCAGTAAACACATACAGCAAGGAAGACAAATACAAAACTTAAGCATGATTTTGCTATTTTTCCTCACCCTTCCATCATGACAAATCAATTTCTACAGATTTTGGATTAGATCTCTTCCAAACATGTATCTGATTCCCCAGTCCTAGGTTTAAAAATTTAATTATAAGGTCTTTGTGGTAGAATGACATCCACCAAACAAGGAATGGGAAGGAATCTAGATTAGAATCTTGTACTCACGTGCAAATTTTCAACAGAAATTAATCTCCGTATTTTCTGATAAACCATGTTACACTGAACTGCCTAATAAATTGTGAAATATTTTCCATGTTGACCAGATGGAGCTCTTACCTGTAAAACCTCTTCAGAATAGACTGAGAGACTACCAAAATGTTTTGTTTCAAAAACTGAAGAGACAGAATAGTTTCCCATGCACAGAGACTCCCAGAATACCCTGTAAGCAGGGAAGTGCTGTTCTGCTGTACATGTTGTTTTATAACATCTAAGCTTTTAACACTGACACCATGCAGAACAAAAGCAGATCATTGAACTGAGAAACCTAAAACCATGTTCCCAAGGCTTCAGGAAAGATCAAATTGACTAGGTGTACATTTATAATATTGTGACTAAACAAGAAAAGGCTGGAACAAAGGAAAAGAACCTTCTTCCCATCCCTTGAATCCCTAGTCCAACTCCTACATAATGCACACTGAGCAACACAACATAATAAATACCACTACCTTAGCTGTAATTTTCTGACATTTTACAGCACCAAGCAAGAACACTTTTTCTTGGGGAAATACTTTATATTTCTGATGAACTATTTAGCAGATGCTTAATGTGCTGAATTCAAATGAAATGTTTGCACCAGAGGGTCACAAGAAGAAGGACCTCACAGCATGGCCCTTGATCCCCTGTAAGAAGCATTTGGTGCAGCACTCAGTAAGGCCTGGAGTTCTTTTATAACAAAGTTTCAAGAATAAATTCTACCAATAACACTTTCTGCTATCTCTCTGGGAAATCTAGTGAAGTGAAATTGATTTTCTTTTTTTATTAGCAAGGCTATTAAGCATGAGGCACCAA